AATCTGATGAAAAACCAAGGGTCCTCTCTGCCTCTGACTATCAGACATGCAGGAATAGCCAGATGAGATTTAAACAACTCAGGGGCTTGACTGCTTCCTTGACTTATCTTCAAGAAGCCCTCTATCAGAGGTGAAAGCACACTCTTATAAGTGGCTTTAATAACCCTATCTCTGGACCCTTGCCTTCTGATTCTTGCTGGCTTGAAACCCCTGGGTACCTGCCTCCTCTGAAAGAGGGTTTCTTAGTAAAGCCTATAAAATGAAACTTTTATAATGTTCAGTGGACTACAACACCCAGCAGGCCTGGAGGGAGATACATTAGATGTAACTGGAAATATGGACATTAAAAAAAAAAAAAAACCAGCACAGAAACTTGGTTCATACTAGATTCAGTTCAGGGTTTGTGGTCAGATTAAGAGGAACTTAGTGTGGAGCTGTCTCAGGCTCAGGAAGGGATAAATGCTGACTTCCTTCAGTTCAAAAGCACAGGGGAACAGACTTTCCGGGATGTCTTAGGTGCGGAGTGGGGGCAGGGAATCTCTAGACTAGTAGTCTGAAGAGTTAGGTCCACTCTCTCTGTGACCTTAGAAAAGTCAATGTACCTGAGCTCTGGTTTCCTCACCTGCAAATATGGGGTAAGATATTTACATACATACCCAGTATGTAAAGGAGGAACCCTAAATTGAATACTGTGGCCATGCGACTTACTTGCTCTACAAACTTGGCAGATAATCTGAACCTGTTTCTGAACCTGTTTTCTCCTAAGAAACTATTACTTTGTAGGATGCTCATAAGAATTTTACAAGATCCTTTATTGAACCATACCTGGCACAGGCCTACCACAAAGTAGGGGCTCAATAAATAGGAATTTGATTTCTAGCGCTGTCGTTAAGAATAAATGAGGGGTCACTGTGAACATGCAAGTGCTGTTATACTTATTCCTAATGGCTATGCTGTGAAAGGAAAAAGATCAAGTTTATCTAATTTTCTGTACAGCTTCTATGTTTAAGATGTGTCCGAGTGTCTTTTGTGAAAGCTTTGTTCCTTCAATTTGCCCCATTTATGTGGACAGGATTCAGAATTCTTTAATCATTTCCCTAGCCCAGTCTGGAGTGCTGACTGAAACCAGAAAGTGTTCATTCTATCTTTGCAGCCAGTTTACACTCATCTGAAACAGAGCGACCAGAAATACCTTAGCCTACAAAAAATTTGATATGCAAACTGAATCCTGTTGAAGTTTGCAGCCCTCTGGAAAATGAAAATGGTGAATCTGGTAAGGTGGTTACCAGCATTGTCTTTATGAGGGGTGGGGAGAAAATTAACTGGTCCCTCCTTAAAGCCTACTGCCTTGCACACAGTAGGTACAGTCAACAGCCTGTTCATTTGCATCTGAAACAGCATGCAAATAAAATGGGTTTTTTTGGGGGGGGCTATATACTATGAGTAGATGATTATGTATTAAATTTATATTGAAAGCTTAGGGATATCATGTTGACAAGTTTTATTCCTAATATATTTATAAGGGAAATTAAACTCAGCTAATGATCCCAATCTTCCTGAAGCTGCTGTCAGGGAGGATTTTGTTTCTAATTCAGCTCTGGCTAAGATGTCTGACATCTCAGAGTTTGTAAGGAAGAGGCCTTAATAACTGCTGACAGTTGTCAAAACTAAAAGCTTTCCAAACTTACTATACATCTGTGTATTTGGAGCCCTGGTGGCACAGTGACTAAGTACCCAGTTAACTAAAAGGTCAGTGGTTTGAACCCACCAGCAGCTCCTCAGGAGAAAGATGGGACAGTCTGCTTAGGTTAAAGATCACAGGCTTGGAAACTCTATGGAGTTCTATCTACTCTGTCCTACAGGGTCACTGTGAGTTGGAATCGACTTGACAGCAATGAGTTTGGTTTTGGGGATTTGGGATATCTATTTAGAAGGATTCAGACTGAAAAGCTGGATATTAACATTCTATTTAAAAAAAAAAAAAAAGTAAACGGTCTTGCTTCTTTTGCCACTAACTTACTAAGTGACCCTGGGCCAGGTATTTTACATCTAGTTTCCTCACCTGTTATGGAGGGAAAGTGGAGGTTGAGATAATGCCCCTGGTCTTCCAGTTCACATTTCAGTCTGGGTTCTCTTTTTTTTAACTTATCTTTATAGTAGCAGAGCCAGTTTAGGCCAAAGACAAAATACCCAGTAATACTCTAAGGTGTGCTCACTTAAGGTTCTAAATCAGCATGCAAAGAACTTTTGACTAAGAATGGTGCTTAATCCATACTGGAAATTTTAAAGCATTTTAACAAGTTGGCAGTCATGTGAACTTCCCACCCTCTGGCTCCTTCATTAAATAATGTTTTTAAATTATTTACCATCGTTCCCCTGTGGCCCCTTTGGTATCATGTGCTGTTTATAGAAAGAATCCCACAACTTGCTTTTGAGACCTGCATCCTAAAACCAAAATAGCTCATGATACAGCCTCTAAGTCATCATTTATTGATTTATAGAGCACCCATCACATGATTGAGGTGCTTTACAATACAGTAAACATCACAACAGAACTCACATAGTTAAATACAATCAACAAATTACAGAACTAAAGAGAAAACTGGAACGAAGCAGTATTATGTCAAATTTCAAAGATGCTGAGAAGTGGCAGTACAAAAAAGGTAATTCCACCAACTGGAGACCAGACAGGCAAAAATACACAGGCACCACAACCCAAAGTGGGCAGATTTGTAGAGGGGGAGTGAGCATATAAAACAAAATTTCACAACCAAGAATAAAGGCCATTAAATGTAACACCCAAGGGATCACAGAACTAGTGGAATAACCTAACAAAGATAATACCTTATAATGACAAGGAAACCAACCTCCTGGATTTTAAACTCACAAGAAGAGACCAGAAAATCATTGAGATCATCAACCCCAGTATGAGCACAGATTGAAATCTGTAAGCCTTTACAAGAACTTGTAATAAATTTAGGAAACTGCCAACAGTTCTACAATCCATAAAAATATACAGATGTTGTTGATCGTTGGTACAAGGTTAGGGGAAAAAAATTCTTTTCCTAAAGCAGAGAGGAATCACCTCACACTACTGATGAGGTACTGGTGGGACAAAAGCCACCTGAGTCAGTGTCACCGAGTGTGGTTTAGTATCAAATGTAGATGCATTTAAATTCACACTGTCAGATGAACACTGAGAAAGGCACAGATGACACCTCTGACAGAGGAAAAGAAGCCATGACATCTCTCTAGGTCTGTGTTTCAGAACGTAGCAGAGTCAGGGCACCAGGTGGGAAGGAGTGTAGAGAGAGGTACACTCACTCCTGGCTCGCTCTTCTACTCCCAAGATCTAGCCCTAAAAACACATGGTTATACCAAAGTAACTGCATTAAAGTGGCACTTAAAATTCAGTAATAGTTGTCCCTGAGTAGTATATCAGTTGCTACTCCCTGAAGGGCCAAATCTCAGGTTTTGACTCAACAGACTGCTAGCAGAATTACAGCAAGAGGAGAGCAAAATTCAGACTCCATTTTGCCACAAGCAACCACCATGTGAACAATTTCTGATTTAAGAGTAAAAGGGATTACGTTCTAAGTCCCAGGTAGGTATGCAGTGCTGGCACTTTTAGGCAATAATTTTTAGAGTCTTTGAAAAAAACCAAGTCACAAACTAAGTTCTTGAAGAAAACAGGGCTCCAATGAATCAAATCAGACAATTTTCACATTCAGTCACTACACATTAATGGACTTTTATAATGCTTCACAGTGGAGAACAGACTGGGATTTAGAAAAATCCCTCTCTGCTGTGACTACATCCTCAATCATTTTACTTCTGCTTAAAAAAAGAACATGCAAAGTTCGTAGAGGCCTGAGCTGTTGGCAGGAATACTTTCACACTTCTGCCAAAGCATTTCTCCAAACCCCACAGAGCAGAGATGCACTGATTCTTATAATTAAACACTATGTCCCATCTGGTACTGCCTTCAAATTCTACCCCTTGTATGCCAAAGACTACTCCCCGCTCCCAACCTCAGAAAAAATACAGAGGAACCTAAGCCTGCCAATGCTACACATGATCATTTTACTATTTTCTGAAGTTGCTTTAGAAACTGTATGATATGGAATATACTTATCCTCACACATTAATCAAATCCAAGTGCACTATGTCAGTGACAAAATCTGTATGTCAAATAGCAAAGCATTTACCCCTGTAATGCTTTTAGATTCACATATGAATCCAGCTATAACCCAATACATACACTGCCATGGCCATGTGATTTTCAAGTACTAAGTTTGTTTGCATAAGGAATCAACCTGAGATTTTTCTAAACTGCACTTCTCTGGCATTCAGTATTGTAACCTTCATTCAATACAATAAAAGCCAACAACTTGACAATTATTGGAAAAAAAATTATATTTTGGAAGAACTCACTACATAAGGTGACAGAATTCCAAAATCAAATTACATGAAAATATACATCGCAATTTCTTTGTACAACAGGTGAGAAAAATCTGCAGTATAGAATAGAGGCAAAGAAATATGAAAGTCTAAAGGAGGGTATGAGGGTAAACAGCATTTTAAATAGCAAACCCAGAAGTTAAGTAGAAAGCCTATAGCTGTGCATGCTTCATTTATCCAATCTTAACATTAGGCAACTGGAAGGGGGTGGGGGATGATTCAGAATTGTGTACTGTTTAGGGTAAATTTCAATCAACTGAATTCAGAACCAACTCTAGTTCTCAAGGGCAATGACTGGGTTCAAGAGCTCTCAACAGCAAAAAAATGTTATTGCTACATCCAATCTGAGAGATGGGTACAACTAGAGTACAAAAAGGACAAAGCACCTAGTGATGACCACTTCTCCAAAGTCATCATTAAAAATCAAGTAGTTGCTTATTAAATATTTCAGTATTTGAACTAAATGATCTGAGAACTTTCTGGCAGATTCACGGGATGAAAGCAAAGGGGAATGTGCCAAAACAAAGAAGATACAAAAGTTTAGTAAGTGAAAAGATTTTAATGAAGCCTCAGTGGTTTAAAAGGAAATTAAATGGAAACTTTTAATCCTAATTGCTTTTCATCTGACATGCTTTAAGGAGTCTTTAAAACTGATAAGAAACAATGAATAGGGAAAGAAAACCTGCTAAAATCTTTTAGAATTTACACGATTCTTACTCTACTACAAGAAAGCATTATTTGGTACAAGGTGTATTTGTGGATGTACATGAACAGTATATATATTATCCGGATCATGTTGTGCTATGTACAGGTCTTTACAATTCTTCCTGAAGGTTAAAACAGTTCATTAGAATTCAAAATGCGTAATCATCTGTAAGTTGGCACTTGTTAGGCTCTTGTCAGCATTGATAACTGGCATGTTTTATTGCAGCCCAGTTCCAGCCAGTGTTTGCCAACTTGTTACAACAGAAGTCCAGCAATAGGTGGGTAGAGTGCAGGAAAAACAGTGCCATGTTTCTCAATTGGAGACCTACAACAAAATAAACACATTATATAATGAATTTAAATGCGCAAATATTAAATTAAGAATTGATCCATCTGAAATTTTTAGCCATGTTGCATTTCTTTGGAAACAAATTTTTTATTTCATTTTAAATTCACTTTTAAGCTGTACAATATGGTAGACATTAGCCACATGTGGCTATTTAATTTTAAGTGTAAATTACTTAATATTAAATTTAAAATTGAGCTCTTCAGTCATACTAGCCACATTTCTAGTTCTCAGTAGCTATATGTGGTTAGTGGCTACCATATTGGACAGTACAGATAGAGAATATTTGCATCATCACAGGAAGTTCTATTGAGCAGCCCTAATTTAGATTTTTCAATAGTCCAACCTTCTTTCAATTTATATTACATCTAGAATTTTAAAAATAAAAGAATTATTTAAAAGTCAGTTGATCTGGAAATTTACAAATATTTGAGGATATTCATAGAAATAAGATCGCCATACTTCTCAGCTGTTATAGTTTTCTTTGTTTTTTATCTGTTGGTCTCATGTTCTCAATTAGGCTGAAAGTCAAGAACCACATCTAAATAAAAACTACCACCATCAAGTACTTACTTTGCATCAAGCAGGTATGCTAAGTGCTTTACAAAACTTATCTCATTTAATGCTCACAATCACCACATGGCAGTTATCTTTTTCTCCTATTTTATAGAGAAAAGTGAAACTAGGTCAAACAGCTAGTCAGTGGCAGAATTTCCTGCTTAAAAAGTTAGCAAAACACTGGCTTCATGTTCCGTTTTTTTTCCCCCCCTAAAAAAGAAATTCTCACTTAACAATTGCAATTTCCAGAGCCTTTACTACATTAATGTATGCTCTAAATATATGGGACTAGGGGTGGGATGAGGCATGTCAGGAAAGAGAGCTCCTATTACATCTTTACATCGAGTGTTCCGAGAAATTCAGGAACCTGTTATCTGCTACCATGCCAAGCACAATGTTGGGCACAAAGACCTCAAATAAAAGATGATAGAAAATTCAAGGGGTAGAATTTTAAAATCCTTGATGAAGAAGTCAAACTTACTTAAGATTTATAGCAAGTATACAACTCACACCAGACATGTTAAAATAAAAGTTCAGTGTGTCTTCTGAAGCCCAGAGTCAATTTATCCATCTTAAATTAAATCTTAATTACCCAAATTCAATCATGCCAAAACTCTGTTGCAGGTATAAAGAAAGCTGTGAGCCGATTTGCAGCCCTAAATGTGCCTATTTCCATAATTTAGACTTCTATCCTAAAATTGGAGCTCTGGTGGTTCAAACCCACCAGCCACTCCTCCAAAGGAAGACTGGGGCTATCTACTTCAGTGGAGATACTGCCTAGGAAACCCAAGGAGGGGTTGCTATGAGTTGGAATTGACTAGACAACAGTGAGTTTGGTTTTTTTAACTGACCTAGAATACATCTCACGAGTTAGTACCACAACTAAATTTCTTTATAAGAAAGGATTGTGCCAATCAACGTAAACACCCCTAACAAAACACTGAATTTGAATGTATTACCTTCACCAGAATTGGGTTCTAACCCAATTGTGCATATTTTATCAGAAAATCTAAAGACAAACACTGAAACTACAGAGACATTGTTATGAAATGGGTATTATAACTTTTAGGTAATGTACCTAATGTTTTTCTAACAACTATACCATACCCAAATTAATCCCCTGGGGCTGAAGGAGAACTAGGCATAGAGTTTGGGCATTCAGCAATCATTCCCCTGTGATACAAACTGTAAGAAACTTCAGAGCCACAAAAAGACCATTTAAAAACTGTTTCTGTGTGATGTTTTAAAGAAAACTCCCCCAAAGAGGACTGACTGACTGCTGAAAGTTATTAAACACCTAAAATCAGGCAAGCCAGCCTTTTTAAATAGTGAGAATCCAGCTTTAAATAACATCAGCTCCTTCACCAGAAATGGAAAAAATCTATTTTCCCCCACTTTGAATAAAATTTATTCTAAACAAAAAAAGTCTAAGTACAGAAAAGGCAAGTGTGTCTGTCTTTACAGAGATAAATGTGAAAACTGAATTACCTGCATAGCACTCTAAATAAAGATCCAGATCTGAAACAGTCATTTATATCTTTGTAAGCATATGCCATTTCCAACTTAAAACTGCATGTTTGTTATTAATTGAAAGTACACCAAAATTATGTGTCTTATAAGAAATAATTTAAAGTGTTTGTTTTCTGCCTCAAGTCTTCCATTAATTATTGTTGGTCTTCAGCCTATCAATCTGGAGCTGGCTCACCTCCAAAGGGCTTATGTCTTACTCCATTTATTTCTAAAACTAGAATCAAATCATTCAATCTTCTGTGCAGGAACGCACCCTAATCTGTGTTAATGGCCAAAGAAAACACAAAGCACATAATGTGCTTCCATAAAGAAACCATATTTTTCATGTTAAACACAATAATTAAAGAAATTCCTCATTAGGGGTAAGAAATCCAATACTGAGCATACTTATGTGGAAGCAGTCTATGAGGAAAGTAATAGGAAGGAAATTCTCATTATTTTTCGTACTGGTATGTCTAAAAATTCCGATTTGTGCTACTCTGCCACCCAAGTGTACTACTGGACAACAATCCCCCAATCACCACTCCTTTGACTTTTCCCCCCCACTGAATTCTTCCTCTTTTTCTTGTATTTTAACATAGGTGAGGTCTGTAATACCTCACTCTTTCCTTGTCACTAGCTCTCCTTGTGACCAGTCCACATTTCTCTCTCCATTTCTTCCTTTTGTACCCTAAATGTGGAAATTGTTCAAGTTTTTGTCCTTCGCCCTTACTCTGCTTCTTTGAAATGGATCTTCATCTCTACTCTGGAGACTCCAATCTCACCAGCAATCCTATGTCTAATCACTGCCCTAACCATGCAAATGTGCCGATTTCTCAAAGCCAGGCTCTACTTCTATTTCCAACCACTTAATGTGATCTAACCTTAAACTTTTTTATGTCCGGTATACCTGGATACACAGAAAGCTCTTTATTGGCCAGGATAATGTATCTGTGGTACTATATGTATTGCCTTTTCCCGCAGGAGAACAGTGCCTTTGTTAATAGTTACGTGATTAACAACTACTAATTAACAAGAACAGATACAGCTCAGGACACCTGTTCTGGGTGTCACCTCTTATTTTAAGATAGACATCTAAATCTTTAATACTATGCAAGTGTTAAAAAAAAAATAGGAATGCATTATTGAGCTAGCAAAATCTCAAAAGACATGTTAAATAAAACACTAAATGCATGGTATGTTTACACCTATCTTTATGTGTGTATGCATGTGTATCTCTCAGACATGTACCTGTGTTTGTGTGCAGGAATGGGGGGAGGTGTGTGCTAGGTTTCTGAAAAACTAAACTATAATGAGTGGTTACTTCTAGGAGTGGAACAGGCTGGCTGACATGGGAAAGAGATCTACTTTTCCTGGTAGAGAAATTTCTTTATTTCAAGTTTTTTTGTAATGCTTGTTTTGTTTCTACAATTTGGGGTGGGGTTGGGGAACTTAAGGAGTGTTTTGGTTACCTAATGCCACTCTGACAATAAATGTACCACAAATGGGATGGCTTAGGCAAACAAGAGATTATTCTCTGACAGTCTGGAGGCTTTAAGTCCAAGTTCAAAGTGCCAGGCTCTAGGGGCTGGGTGAAAGCACTTCAGCCTTGGGCTTCAGCTCTGCCTCCTGTTTCTGGCCCACTGGAGCTAGAGGCTTTTCTTCACTCAGATAGCTACTGGCTGCTGAGGTTAACAAGTGCAAGGCTGGCAAGTAAAATGGCACAGTCCTGATGTTACCAAACCACACAGCAGGCCATTAATTCAAGTCCACTGAAAGTCACAAGGTCAGCAGAGCATGGCAGGCTGCTGAACAACTACTCAGCTACATGCAGGGTTCAAGCGTACCATAAGCCAGAGATCATTCCCAAAGCTGTTTCTTATATATGGGAAGAAGACCACATCCCCAAAGCAGCTACTCAGCTGCTCCAATAGATTTAACCATGGAGTTAATTACTAATCTCACCATGGGGAATAACTACATTCAGCTGCCCAGCCACTCAACCAGGCCCAGCCTACTTGACACACTAACTTAACCACCACAAGGAGAGAAAAACAGGCAACAGTGAAGAGGTAGGCAAAGGAGTAAAAGAAATTCTAAAGGTAGTGATAAGATTTAGAAGAAAGAACCAAGATATTTATGAGTAGAAGATCTTTCTAAGAGGGATAATCAATAGTGTTAAATGCTGTAGAGATTAAGAATCAAAGCAAAACTAAAGTATTTGGATGTGACAAATAGGTAGTCCTTAGCATCCTTAGCAGTTTAATTACTATGCCACCAGAGCTCCTTACGGAGAAGTAAGATGAGTCAAATGTTAATGTACTTGAGACCTGAAAGAAATATGGAGAATGTAAGATTGAGGAATTTTTCACTCTTGGCTAAGAAACAATTTAACTTATTTGCAAGAAAATCAGAACAGAAATCAATAGAAAAAAGAGATTAAGGCTAGGAGAGAGATCTGATACAGTGACATCCTAGAAGATGGTAGAAAGAATAGAATCCAGTTACTATACTAAGCTGAGCTCTGGTAGCGTAGTGCCTAAGGCACTTGACTGCTAACCAGAAGTCTGGCAGTTCAAACCCACCAAGCACTCCTCAGAAGGAAGGTTGGGCAATCTACTTCTGTAGTGACACTGCCTGGGAAACCCAAGGAGGGGTCACTGAGTCGGGTCTGACTCGACGGCACATAAAAACAACAAGATTTTACTTGCATGTGATATTAATGATACTGTTGAATAATCTCCACAATCTGTGGGATCACCTTTCTTTGGAATGGGTACAAATATGTATCTCTTCCAGTCAGTTGGCCAGGTAGCTATCTTCAAAATCTATTGGCACAGACAAGCAATTACCTCCAGCATAGCATCCGTCTGTTGAAACATTTCAGTGGGTCTTCTGTCAATTCCTAAAGC